GCCAAATTAATCAACCTGCTAAAACAAATAAATGAACTTCAAATGAACTTCAAATGAACTTCAACTTGTTAAATCCCTAGATAAACAGAGTGGATCTAAGTTCACAGGCAGCAAATTCCCCCAGGAAACTCTTCATTACAGGAGGAAATACAGAGGTAAATTTGCATGGTGCAGAATGAATTGACACTTTGTTGTTTAATGTTTGACAAGGATCATAGCTGATAATCTTGTTTAACGTATATATGTGCACGATCCTTCGCAGTAAAGCACTATTTAAGCAATATAGTGAAAATCAGACCTGAAAAAAAATTCAGGCCTGTACGGGATTCGAACCACTGACCTCTGTGATACTAGTGCATCATTTTCAGGTCTGATTTTCACTATTGCATAAATAGCACTCTCTACTGCGAGGATCATGCATCATATGTAGTTATAATATTGTCCTTTTCCTTTAAAATGATTGACTGATTTTTTTACTAGTGACTCCAGTGAAAGAAGTGACAGTCTTCAATTTAGCAGACTCAAAAACATTATATTTACTCTATCTTCAGGGAGGTTTTATCAGGAAGACTGAATGAGTGCATTAGACTCAATGAAGAATATCAGAGGTGCTTTCACCGAACCAAACAAAAGCTCAGAGAAAATCCCAGCGAGAGACAGTTTGAATTCAGGTAAGCAAATCAACTTTCTGTTCCTAGTACATGCTTTGCTTCTGAGGTTACATTTTGAAGTACCATACTTACTTATCCTGAGTAGTGCTGGAACTTGATTTGGACATGGTCTTAAAATAAGTGAGGAGAATTCGCTACCTTTCTATAATCAAGAATTGGATAGATATTCTGGTCTTCATCGATAAGGACGAATAAACCGTAGGCCCCGTCTCCTGCAGGGTTTGGGGTAGCAGACGTTAATTTCCCACGCACGAGAATGCTGTGTGGTGGATGTCCTCACCTGGGTGGGATGGGTGTGTGTTGGCCCTGAAAAGCCCCTATGGGGAGTGGTCAATTAACCTATGTATGTATGTATGTATGTATGTATGTATGTGTGTATGTGTGTGTGTGTGTATGTATGTATGTATGTATGTATGTATGTATGTATGTATATGTGGGTGTGTGTGTGTATGTGTGTATGTATGTATGTATGTCTGTCTGTCTGTTAATTGTGTTGTAGACAAAGAGACTGCATGTTGACCTCTTAATGTCTTCTTGCAGTGAGAATTACATTTTTGGAAAATTTGATGCATTTTGCAAGAGGCTGGAAAAGATTAATGACATGTTGAACACAATGGAGACTTTTGCCAATGTCAATAACATCAAAATTGAGGTACAGTACAAAGCTCACTTGATGCTGAGTATTAAATTCACTCTTAGGCTTGCTCTTCCATCAGATGGTCCTTCTTGATGATTTGCATAATCCTCACCACTTTTCTTTGTGACAGTATTTGCAGACTGAGCGGAAAAGTTACATTTTAGTCATTGTTTGGAGTAAAAAGGGTTAACCACCCAAGGTTTGATTGGGCAAACTATTTCACATTGCTTAGTTCTCAGCCCTAATGGTTTGCTCAAGGGAGAACGATTCCTTTGAAATTTTCCATAATTTTTTTTTCTGGCCTATGAGTTCATATAAAAAAATTTGGGAAGTGCAGCTTTCTTTAAAGCTCTTTTAATTTGCTAAGTTTACTCTTAACCTCTGCTTAGAGTCCATTTTTGTCTTTTTCCAGTTTTTCACGGTTCAGAGGAATAAACTATATATGTTGAATTTTTCAGGGCATGGAGACAATGATTGTTCGTTACAACTCTATTGTGACAAGTGTAAAGAAGAAAGGTTATGATCTGCTGGACCACAGAAAAGGAGAGGTGAGCATGGATAGAAATTTAATTAGTCATATGACAAATGGGCTTTAATTTGTGAATTGCCACAACCTTAGAGTGCTCCGAGTTGTTAATATCTGGTACACGCTATTTTCAGCAGTCTTAAGTGGTTTTAATATTTGTTGTAGTTTTCTTCAATGTCCTTCCACCCCACCTTCCTTTTTCCATCCATTGATCTTATCAGTGCTGATGGGTGCTTGGAATGCAGGCTCATAGCTGGGTTGGAGGGATTTGCCAGCTATGGGGGTAGTGTTCACTGGCTAGCCACAGCCGAAGCTCCTAGATGCCCAAGACAATCTGTTCCATTTAAGGAAGCTTAAGGCAGCCATCAACAGCAATCTAAAAGGTTTTATTTCATACCAAGGGTAGTTTCGTGTTAGTTCACACCTCTTTGTGTATGTGCATGCATAACTTGCACAGTTTATGAAGTGTTCATGTATTATTTTCATGACTGCAGTTTGACATTGATTATGAAGAATTCAAACAAAGCATTGAGGGACTTAAACAACAGCTTCAGATGTTTGTAGACTCCTGGTTTGAGAAACCTCTATCTGTGAGTGTTACATTTTACCACCTTATCTTGAATATCATGATTAGCTTTTCAAAATTAACTTCTGTGCAGCGTCCATATTTTGTATAATTTCCAAAAAATACTATTAGCCAACTAATGTGGGCTTTCACAAGAGCTAATATCCATATAGGGATAACAGTTTCTTGTTATACAACTAAAAATCCTATAATTTAACTTTTTCATTTTCTCAGGTGTTGCCAAGTAGTAAAAAATCAATACACTATAAACCGAATGCAAATATGGCGTCCAATTTGAGTTGCCATTGTTCTGGACTCACTAGCCTCTCACACATGTAATAATCCTTTTGTGTTTCCACGTGAAGATGAGGCTAGTGAGTCCAGAACAATGGCAATTCAAATTGAATGCCATATTTGCATTCAGTGTATATATCAAGCCAAAAATTGGGAAGAGGAAAGCTAAATTTGAGAGAAATGTTTTATTTAGACCGTGCAGAGAATAAAAAAAAATTTGGATCCAAGAATGACACGGTTAAAACTTTGCTGAATATCAGTAATGAGCATAATACCACACAAGTGAATAGTGCTTTTTGCATGTGCTAATTGGCTAGTTTGGAAGTAAATAGCAAGTTCTATTCATCTCTGAGCATCTGATGATAGAAAATCACACCTCAGGAGTTTAATTTCTGGCCACTTTTGGCATACTGAAAGAAAAAACAAATTTCCGGTAACTGTGTGGTAATGTAACCAAACAAGTATTCACTTCCACTTAAGCGAATCATTGTTAATTACTATTTACAGTAAGAGGGCTAGCTACATTCTTTGATTTACCACTTTTCAGACCCTTCGGGCTCTTGAACTCCTGCAAAAATTCCAAAATATTGGAGGAGTTCAGTTGTATCTTCATGACAAGTACCAGAGGATTTTGTTGCAGTATGGAAGGTAGGAACATTATTGGGAATTAGGTTGAGCTGACGGGGTTATTTTAATATGATAGATCATGGTACTCTTGGAATTGTAAGAAGCAAGAAAATAAATTGGAAATAGCTAATCAGGCAAAGATTTTCGTTGCATGGCCTTGATTCAGCAAACGACATCTAAAATGTGTAGTGAGGAGTAATAAAATGATGTATGGGTGTCGTTGGTGGATGTGGGACTGATGTGACCAAAGAGAACCAGGTGTTGAAGTTGGAAATAAGTGATTCTCATCAAGGGAGATTAGGTACAGGTAGCTAGATGCGAAAGGGAAAGCCAAGTGGCCTTGCTATGCATTATTATAAAAGGTGTGGAAAGCTGAAGGAATGCTGATGAGCTGTACAATGTTGTGGTTTAGGTTCTCTCTGATGATAGAAAAAGTTGATAAAGCTGTTCAAGGGCTTCTGTTGAGTAGATGACTTCCCCAGAGAGTGGCAACGCACAAGCTGACCAATGATAGGAAGAGGCAAAGAAAGATGTTACAAATTTCCATGGATCTTTTGTTGAGATTAATTTTAAATTCTTTTCTTTCATCAGGGACCTTGAGACATGCAAAAAGCTGTATCAAAAGCAGAAAAATGATCCACCCATTCTTCGAAATCTTCCACCAGTAAGTCCGTCTTAACTATGATTCGATGCCGTGATTGTATTGTCAAAAGTAGAGAAAAACTACGTGTACTGCATCCATTCATGCAGGAGAGTTGAGCTGAACTAATTGTTCCATCTGGTTTTAGGTTGCAGGTAAAATAACATGGGCCCGACAGCTTTTTAGGAGAATTCATGAGCCAATGAAGGTGTTCAAGACATATCCAGAAATCTTAAAGGTAAGTTTGTGGTCTTTTGCGGTTAACTTCATATATTTTATTGTAGCTGTAGCTGTTATGGGAACCACGGACATAACAGGTACACTATGGTGTAACTGTTAGTGGAAATAAAAATCATGTTCTGTTCATGCGTCAATTTGACTCAACATCTTTTGTTACCAGGGAGAGGATGCAAAGAGAATAATTCGCAATTACAACAAGAATGCGGCTGTGCTGGTGGAATTTGAGGTATGCTAACGTAAAATTTGTAGATGGGTCATGGAGTTTAACAGGACCTCAACCATTTTTATCTAGGTCAAAATCTTATGATATTTGTCTCTATGGAGCGAAATGAAACAGACTTGTAAGGCTGTTTTTTCAGCAGTGGTAGAGCACATGTGGTAAATACATATTATTTAAGTAAGTCTGTCGCTTTTTTTATACTTCTTTTCGTGAATGGACAGTTGGGGGTAAAGGTTTTGTAGCAATGGTTTATTTTGAGTTTCGTGTTATTGCTAATACTTAAAATTTGTCTTTCATTTCGTGTTTCCGCTGCAGTTGCTGTATCATCGTGGATGGTTCAAAGCAGTTGAAGCTGCCAGGAGTGGATTAAATGCATCACTGCTTGTGCGGCACCCAGAAACTAAGGTATACCTCTTCGTGTTGATTCATTTGCTATGATCCTAAGATCAAATTTTGTACCATCTATTTTTTTTATGTCCTCAGAAACTCTTCGTGAACTTTGATCCACAAATCCTTGAGTTGATTCAGGAGGCCAAATGTATGGGGAGGCTAAACCTCGAGGTAATTAAGAATACCAAAACGTTTGATATTTGATAGTGTCTGTTACAAAACTAAAGATTTTATCAACAGTCCGTAATGATTCTGTAGACCTATGGCACTGAATAACAACGACACCTATATCGCGCTTTTTTCGTCCGTGCGCGCATGAAAATCGTATATGCGCGTCTGACTGACTGCCCTTTATTCTGAGCATATGAAATGCGTCTGCGTAGTTAACGTATACGCGAGCGGTACTGTATGAGTGTCATATATCTTACAATCTACTTAACAGATACCAGAGGCCGCGCAAGTTATGTGTATGAAAGAGGAACAATTCAAAACTTGCAACAACAGGTTTGTAACGTACATGTAGTCCTTTGCCTATCAATTTTTCTGGGTAATTTCCACACGGAGCCTCTTGCTAGGAACTATGATTACTTACTACTTACCAACCGCTGTAATTAGATAAAGTTTAGCAAAAGGTAGGATCGATGAGCAGGGTACTTTACTGTCAGTAATGAATAAAAATTTGAATCTTGGTGCCTCAAACAATAATTTCACACATCTCTTATGCAGGCTTCAAGAGGTTTTAAAGGAATACGACTCAGTCGTCACAGGGATCCCAGAAAATGTGTTACCTCTGATGAAGCCATTCACCGACCGTGTTGACGAAACGATCAAACCAGGATTGACCATGTTGAACTGGACTTCTCTAAATGTTCATTCTTGTGAGTGTAACAGCTGAGTCATGTTCTCATCATTTTTTACCTTCTTGTTACGTACATGTAGGTTTAAAGGGTCTGTTAAGAGTCGTGAAGTTTGAAAAATTTTAGAAACTTGGAATTTGATTTTGGAGAGATGGTAAAAGTCGGGGAAAAAGGATAAAATCCTGACAAAATTGGAAGAAGTCTGTAATTTTTGTCAAGTTGCAACAAAGGTTTAATTCTGGGTGAGGTCTTTGTGAGGTAACTGGATTTATGTTACTATCTCGGCAAGAACGTTTAATTTGTGCGAGTGGAGACTTTATAATTGTGAGTAAATCTTGGCAAGTACTATTCTGTTCAGCTCATTCGATTCATAACCTTGAGTCTGGAAAATAAATAAAAGATTCATTTTGAAAAGTCTGGAAAGTGTATTCCTGTTTAGATACAGAAATTTGCATGAATGTTTGTAGGACAGCGTGGTCGCAAATTTCTTCTTAATAGAACATCCAAGTCAAAATGAGCTAAAATAAATTAAATGCTTTATACAATGTCATCAAATCTGCAGATATCAACAGCATTCAAAAGTCAGTGAAGGGACTTGAAATTCTTACTAAAGGGGTAAGTGGTGTTTGAAAATGTTTTCTCTTTTTTTTTTTAAATCGATCTGTTGTAGCGTCAGTACCGTTGTGTGATGACGTATTCCTTTTTTTGGTCCAATTTGCTCCATTTTATCCCCAAACAAAAATGTCTATTGTATGTCAAAGTCAGCACTGCCGACCTTGCTTGTTTTTCATTGAAGGTGAAAGACATGCTTGATTGCCGAATAGAAGCAGTTTTGCAAGATATTGAGTTGACACGGCTGTGTGATCTGCCAGAAGATGAAGCTGTTACTGTAGAAGATTTTGTTGCTGTTACTGAGAAAACATGCCAAGAGTCTGCCGAATCTCTGTCCAAGTAAGCTTGGCTTTTGTGAATGATAGATTCGAACTTACTTGAAGTTACTTGAAGTTAGGCAGGGCTTCAAGCTCAACTATTTTCACTGTTGCCATTTGGTGACAGTGAAAACGACGAAGCATTTATAGTGCTATATGCATATGGTAAACTCACTCCAACTTGTAGTAAAAAGTACGTAATGAGCACCTAACAGCTCGCAACATGACCACCGAATGAAGGTCGCCTAATTGGCGACTTTCGTGGTAAATGTTTTAATTCATAATCGTCTTGGCGACCAAAACAGCGCAGCTGGGAGCGCTGGCGGGTATAAGATTACATATGTTTGAGGTTCGAAGTGAACTATGCAAACTGATGGAAATGGGATTGAGCTACTGACAGTTTTTAACAGTGTTATTGTAACGGTCAAGCCATTGGTACATTTCAATTTTGTTACCTTTTTACGGTTCCATAGGTACAACCATCTTGTAGAGTCATCAGTAAACATCCTGCTTCAAACTCTTAAAGACAACTTGAGGCCGAATGAATTGACAGGCCTTGATAAAGAAAACTATCCCTGTTTGTACCCAGAGTCAAAACAGGCAAAGAATAATAAAGGGAACAGGTGCTGGGAGTGCATGCCTTGCTGCTATTGGAGCTTGTTCATCTTTTTCAATCAAAGATGCATTGAAGCTTTGGTTAAATCGAAAAGACAGTCGTTGGATGCCATTAAGAGGCGAATGCAAGCAGCCAATAAACACAGCAAGGATTCATCGAACACAGATGCTAAGTCACCAGCATTGTTTAAGGTAAATCCAACACTTTTTCTCTTTCCCGTCCAATTTTCTCTCTTGCTCCACCTTACCTGTCATTCTGGCTTCTTGGTTCGTCCTGGCTCCTTGACTTTTTTCCATTGCAACGACCCCTCTGTCAATCTAAATGTCTGTCTTTTTGTTCTTCCGTTTGCTTTTTCCTTGTTTCATTTTTTGTTTGCTTACCTCCTCTCCTTTTGATATTGCTCCCTCCGTCTCTCTTTTTCTCTTCTTCCCTTCTCCGCGGAACATTTCTTTAATCCCTCCTTTGCCTCGCCTTTGCTTCTTCGTTTTCCTCTTTCTTATTTTTCTTTCTTATTTTCTCTCTTGCTCATTCTCAATAACTTACTTCGTCTCATCTTCCCATTATTCTTCCACTTTCTACTCGTTCTCTTACGTTCTTCTTTCCCTTAATGCTGGCATATTTTACTAGGCTGACATTGTGCTGGAGATCCCATCAATTGTAATGAAGCCCAGCTTAGATGACATCCAGCAAGCCCTAAACAAAACAGTACAGATTATGCTGAAAACAACTCAGGTAACTTAAGACAGTAAATTGTTTGAACCCAGGGGTAACACGTGATAGTGTATTATGAGGTAACATAGAAAAGCGTCGAAGGCAAGCGTACATTAATCCCTCGCTGAACACAATCCTGTACGTGCATCTAAAACTCGTGGTAAATGAAAGTGACACCTGTAATTTTCATCTCCTTTTCCACATTTTGTGGGGGGTAATTTCACTCTATTTATACGCAGGTTATACTTGCAAAAGTGTACCGAAACGTTAATACAAGTTTGTTCAGATGTTGATTGGACTAATCTTTGTTTTGGTAATCTCATGAGTTACGATCACTCTACAAAGTACAACGCTTTGTTAACTTGTCTACTTCTAAAGAATGTCTACGAATGGAAACAGCACGGAGTCATCCATCAACCTCCAATCATTGTTGCCGAAGAAGGAAAAGTTCTTCCGCCTTTGGCGCCAAAGTCTCTTTACAAGCTGGTGTCTGAACACAAAGACGTGACAAAGGTATGCAGTAGGTAAAGCCTGCTTACGAGCCAACTGTGGCCCATCGGGCTGGCACTTAACTCCGCTTTCCGTAGCATGAAGCGACAAGGAGTAATTCTACTCACCCCTGGATGGAATGCTAGTCCATCGCAGGGTTACCCCCCAGCATTAAATTATCCTGTGTGAAGAGAAGCACTGTGAGAGTAAAGTGTCTTGCCCAAAAACACAACACAATGTCCCCGGCTAGGGCTCAAACCAGGACCACTCGATCTGGAGTCGAGCGCACTAACCATGAGGCCACCGCGCCTCCACTAGGGTATGCAGTGTTACTGTATAATTCAACCGACAGAAAAACACTCTAATTCTATAAACACAACTACTTAATTAAATGAAGTGTAATAGTCTAACTTAAGAGCGACTCCAACTGACAATACAGTAACTATTGTCAATATCCGAAGCCCTCTACAAACCATTTCTTAGCTCACCGCTGTCCCAACTCACAGTTTTATCCAAAGTTCCTTGAAGTTAACAATCTTCCACAACAGTTCTCTCTCATGGCATATCTCCAAACAGTTGGTCACTCCCGACAACAGCAACTACCACTACTACTTCACGACCAAGTCCTTGTATAGTTCCATAGAAAGTTTATGCTTGCAAGTCAGCATGACAAAGCATTCTAGAATTTTCTGAATACTTATTTTTAGCACTCTCAACAGTAGCCAATGATATTTGGTCTTTTTTTCCAGTGACCTCTTTTGTAACCTACCATAATCTTGTTGACCTGTAATAGTTTCTCTCTCCCAGCACCACGTGTGTATATGCATCCTTACATTTGGCCACTTCAGTCCAATGGTTTTGGAGTGATGGCGCTTCCATTCCTTTTGTGCTTTTTACGCCGGATTACTGTAGCTCCTCAAATAGAAATTGCTCTCAAAGTAGAATTGATCATTTTTTGACAAGAAAATGATGGTTGTTTTTGATAGGTGGTCATTACTCTGAGTTCAGTTGTAAGCTCATTAAAAATGGATGCCACGAAGATTTTGGAAGAGATGGACCAATTCAAAGAGCTCTGGAACCAGGTAACGTTCAGAAAAAGTTTCTTAAAGTTGTAAAAAAATATATACAGAGATGAAGGTGTTTAATTGTTACCGCAGAAACAGGATTCAAAACTCCGCAAAGTGGTTCTTCAATGAAAAAGTTTGAATCAAGTACAAGGGTTTTATTCATGCAGCGTTGATCAGTGTCTTGGATCAACCTTTGTCTTTCTTGACCAATTCCAGCAGAATTGTTGCTTCAGATGTCTTTTATGCTTTTTGTTGTTGCCAGGATCCCAACACCAAAGTGAAGGAGTTCATGGAATCCAAACCGTTGTTATCAGACTTTGATGCCCAAATCAAATATTACCAGCGCCTAGAGACTCAAATTGAAGAACTTCCTGGGAGTTATCACATTGGTCCTGTTGAATATCTTACAGACAGAATCAAAGAGGCTTTGGTCACAGAAACCAAGGCGTGGAAGCAGGCATTCGGGAAAGCAATGGCAGAGAAGGTAACATTTCCGTTTACTCTCAGGAGAGACATTTAGATTTTAGATCAAAGGTGATCACAAGCTCAATAGTCAAACAAAGGAAGTACTCTAACTGGTGTTGTCTTGATGGGAAAGTCGTGATAGCAGTCAAGTAATTTGAAGAAATATTACTTAGATCTAACTTCAACTGTGTATGATCCTGCATTTCCACAAACTTTCAAAAGTGTCTGCATAAAATGTCATATGAGCAGACCACTAACAGCATTACTAGCCAAACTCTGTTGCTAATTAACTATTTCTAATCACATAATTCCTACCACTCGATTGTAATTTGTAATTGTTTTTTTTTGTTTTTGTTTTTTTGTTTGATTGTGTAGGAATCTCGTTAATGGAACGTTAGCTCTGTGAGATCTCTCCTGCCAAATTGTTTTTTGCGAAGCTTATAAATAAATAAATAAATAAATAAATAAATAAACATCGTAGGACGAATTTATGAAGCCTGCTCCCAGGCCCTCATCTTCAGCCCGCGAGAAGATATGACAAGCAGGGGAGAGGTTTTCCGGGGGCTTGGCACTTTTAGTGCCAGACCTCTTGCAGACCTCTCGCCGGCTCGCGTTGCCCAAGGCCTCATAATTTCCCGCGGGTGACGAAACGCTGGTGTCGAAGCACTAATTATAACGTGGACGTGCTCGTAGGCTAAATTTTTATGGAACATGGCGTAATAGGAAAAAGAAAATACCAACACGTTGTCTTTTTTTAATAGGTTTTCAACCAAGAAAGGGCTCAATTACGTCCGATAACAATAGTTGCACAATAGAAGTGACTTGTGAAGAGCGCAATAAAGTTTTGGGGAGAATACATTTCCCCAATACTTCGCTGAAAACTTGAGTTTAAATCCCAGACTCATTGTCTAAAAATTTGGCGCTATAGAACTTTTTTATTATCAATGATTGTGTTTTAATACAAGCGTGTTTTTTGTATCTGGCAGGCAAGTGCAGACATGGAAGAAATCTTCCTGTTCATTGACAACCTCAACAAGCGACTAGCTCGTGGGATTAAGGATCTTGATGATGTAAGAAGCAGTATGGCCGCTCTCAGTGAGATCCGAGAATCGGAAATAAGGTTTGTGCCACATGTAAATTTTATTTTTGCGCCTGTAATTTCTCGCCAATTTAAACGGTAATCGGATAGAGAAGATCGTCGTAAATGTATGTTGTTGGTCAAAATTTTTACTAGGGCGCAGGAGAAACTTGAATTTTGTAACGTAGCTTTTCTTAAATTTAGCTGAGAATCATTGCTTCGTTTTCGGGAAATAACTTAGATGTAAAAAAAAAAAAAAAGAAAAAAAGCAGCAGCTCACTGTCTTTTTTCTTGAGAGAATCGGAAGGAGGATATCTGATTCAACATACGTTTTTTGCGAGAACCCAGTCTTCTATCACCCGAAGAAACTTCTTCAATTCATCGTTGGTCTCTGGTACATTATGGTTTTCAAATTATTTATGCTTTCTATTTCTGTAGGATCGACATGACAATCGGTCCAATCGAGGAATCATTTGCCATGATGAATCGTTACGGGTTGGTCTATTCGAGCAGTGATGCTGAAAGAGTTGATGGTCTCACTTACGCGTGGCGTAAATTACATGCACAGGTGAATGTAACCATTTTAGGAAATATTGCTCTCCCCCTGTTAAGGATGCGTTGTGGCATGTAGTAAAACAACAACAACAACAATCTTTATTTGTACTCCCTTGCCTGTGTCAAGTTAAATAACAATATTGAAAAGAAATAGGGTACTGGCTGTCTGGAATAACCATAGGGGCCAGTGGCGCTAGGCAGCCAGTAGACAACAACACTGAATGAAAATAAATTAATGGTTAGCAAGATAGTACAAAATTTATTTAAGACTTTAGATGTTTCGATGCACTCAGCCTTGAGGACAATACGTATGTGGACATCAAATATCTTATTGTTTCTATTTCAGTACGTACTTCAAAATACAAAGTCTTATTGAGTAGATTAAGTGTTACAAAAACGATATCAACAGACCATGGTTCATTTCTTGTCACTTTTTGCAAGTAAGGCCGATTGGGAGAACAAGCAGACTAAAAAACAAAAAAAGGAACGTTATCTGCCACTGATAAACAGAGCTAAACAGAAGGAAGTTTTTAAATCATGAGCACTCCACCTCCCAGAGAGGAGAGAACCTCCAACCCTGTTTAGTATTGTTTGGATGCTTCACCTTTGATCCAAAAGGAACCTGAGACGAGTATAGCCAAACGGGTGCTACTTTTTGTACGCGTTTCCTGAAAAACTAACGTCTCCTTGTCTCATGTAATAGGCTGGTACTGTGGCGAGTCACCTGCTGCAGATCCAGCCCACATTTAAGTCGGATCTCTTGGATGGTGTGGAAAAGTTCAAAGTGATGGTTACAACGTTTGTTCAGGAATACAACGAAAAGTAAGTGAGACTGGCAGCAAACAGCTCAGACATACCACAAAATTTTGTCATTCCATTACGGGTTGTGGAAGACCTTGCCTAGTTCAACAGCCTGTAATTTATAGTTCTTCGTGGAACGCTGCGTTGGCGTAGCTGCTCAGTCAAGAAGTAGAATTTGCCTCGGGCTATTAAAAGCTTTGCCAGACTTTTTTTCCATGGAAGTTTTTTTTGAACAGAAGGCATAATTATTTAAAAACGTGTTTCCTTGCAATCGTTGTTCATTTGTATTATAGAGGCCCTATGGTTTCTGGAATTCCACCAAGGGAAGCCAGCGATCGCCTGGGAATTTTCCAAGCTCGGTTTGATGAGCTTTGGAGAAAATATGAAACATACTCGGGTAAGTTGAGATTTTTAGGGACAGACTAAAAGGAGAGGTCATAGGGATTACATGAAGATGATCTTCTCTTTTTTTTGCTGCTATGGATGTCTTGTCGAATATGATTGAACCGCGCTATACTTGAATAATAGATTCCAAGTTATCTCGCGTCTTGAATTGTAATAGATTCACAAATGACGTCAAATGTGGTAAGAACAAAAGAGTAGCACTTGAGGGGCGGCCGATTGTGTCACTTGTTGTACTATTCGTTTCATACGACAAAGTAGCAAATGTTGTCGATGGTGACATTATCTATGCACCTGTGCTCCAAGAGAACATAGAGAGAGAGAGAGAGAGGAGAGAAAAGACGTAGTGGCTTTATGGTCAGTGCACTGGACTCCCGGTCGAGAGGTTTGGGGTCGAGAAATGCTGGGGAGGGTAACCTTGCGATGGACTGGCATCCCATTCAGGGGAGGAGTAGTGAGGCTCCTAGTCGCTTCATACCAAGGAAACCGGGATGAACTCCGGCTTGGTGGGGCACTAGGCTCGAGTACACACTTTGCGCCAAGAACCAATCAAAATGTGTGTACAGTGCAGCTTATGGTCTAAAGTTTCCTATACGCCACGTTTCTGTGGAATCGCCAAATGGAAGCTAGTTAATTGAAATTTTAGGCAAGTGTTACAGCCAGGAGTGCTTTGACTGAGCTTTCTAAATGAGCAATTGAGAAATGTGTAGACGTTTATCATGTTTCTGTTATTGTTGGTGTTTTGTTTTGTTTTCTTAATCGCTGATTTTGATTTTAATACATTTTCATTGCACAAGGTGGCGAGGAGCTCTTTGGTTTGACTGTCACTGAATATCCGAACTTGCAGAGAATCCGAAAAGAACTGGGACTTCTTCAGAAGCTTTACAACTTATACAACGCTGTCATTGAGAACGTGAACGGCTACTATGATATCCTGTGGCAAGAAATTGACATTGAAAAGATCAACAATGAACTGCTGGAATATCAGAACAGGTAAGCGGTTAAATTCGCGGTTATCCATCGAACTGGCCATGACTCAACACTTTTATCATTTGTGGCCTTTTAATACAGGATTCGTAAACTTCCCAAAGCTCTGAAGGAGTGGCAAGCCTTTCTGGATCTGAAGAAGACCATTGATGATTTCAGCGAGTGTTGTCCCCTTCTTGAGATGATGGCACACAAGGCTATGAAACAGAGACATTGGGAAAGAATTTCAACCATTACTGGTGTCACACTGGACGTGGAGTCGGAAACGTTTCAGTTGAGACAACTAATGAGTGCACCTCTGTTACCAAACAAAGAAGACATCGAGGTATGTAAGACAATAGGCCAGCTTTCAGAGAACTGTTTTGATTACTGCGCAAATTGTTTCGCGAGTGATTTATTTTCACGGAGAAACTGCAGTTTCTAACTTAGGGAGAAGCAGGAAGAGATGCACCTTTATTTCTTTAAATTACCCACACGCTTCTTTCGGGTTTTACAACGAAGCAGAGCACTCTCCAGGCTTTCTTTTCGAGTAAAGTGTTGTCACGCAAACTGAAATAAAGTGCAAAAAATTTGGGACACATCTTGTTCTCGTTGATCCAAACACAGTCCTTTGTAATCGTCTATGATTTTGCGCTTATGAGCATCTTTCAAGGTCTTTTGTTGTTTATAACTCTGTTACAATTTTTTAGCTATTACTGACATAGACCAATCAATATTGATGATCCTGGTAATATGCAAGACGTGTTTCACATATGAACTTCGTTAAGACGTGGCTCACCGTAGAATCTGTGTGGCCTAGTGGTAGAGCTTGTGACGTAGTGGTAGAGCTTGTGACGTAGTGGTAGAGCGCGTGACGTAGTGGTAGAGCGTGTGACGTAGTGGTAGAGCGTGTGACGTAGTGGTAGAGCGTGTGACGTAGTGGTAGAGCGTGTGACGTAGTGGTAGAGCGCGAATCCGCAGGGTTCAGGTTCGATTCCTCGTGGGGAGTCAATTTTTTTCCATCGTCTCACCTTCGTGACAAGAAGAAAAAATACCTTTCGCTCTGACGAAGGACTAATGCTCGAATTGTCAGCTTTGAAACTCTTTACGGTGGCCAATTTACTTTATCAACTCAGTTGATAAAACCAAAATTACTTTGTCACTCCCACCGATGCAGCATCACAGTTTCGTAAGAAACCAACCCGTTTTGTTCAAGAAGAAAAAACATCCGTCTTTATTGTTATTTCTTACAGGATGTTTGCATTGCGGCCGTTAAAGAGCGTGACATTGACTTTAAGTTGAAGGGTGTCGTGACTGAATGGAGCACGCAAGTGTTTGCGTTCTCAAACTTCAAGAATCGTGGCGAGCTGCTCCTCAAAGGAGCCGATACGTCTGACATTGTATCCTTAATGGAGGACAGTTTGATGATCCTTGGTTCTCTTTTAAGCAACAGGCAAGCCCTTTGTTTTCACTTATAGGGCTTTGTTGGCCAGTAGACCCATAACAATCATGGAGGATAGAGAAATGTTCCCAACGATCAGTTAGTAAACAGCCACGCACTTTTGCGGCAAAGCGAGCGAAATGAAGTTTCGCATTCGCTTTTCCGTTTGTAACGCGCCAGTGTTTACTAACTGAACGCTTTAATAAGGCAAGAACAAAGTAAAAACAAAGCAAAACAAAACAAAAAGAAAAACAAAAAAATAACTGGGAATTAAAAGTGACAATTGACTTACCATCGTTCTTTATTTAATGAATGCACTGTAAATTCTTTTTTCCCCGCTTATGAAATGAACAGTATCGGTTGAATTTTTCTACGGTCGTTTGTTTGTTTGTTTTTTTTTAATAATTATCATATAATCTCATTCCTAAAACAAAACAAAAGAAAGGTAAAAAAGTGAAACACTACCGATACTTTTTTGGTGGTTTTTTTTTTTTTTTTTTTTTCCCACTGTACACGGTTGGTTTAACAGGAATGTTTTCTATTTCTTTACAGGTACAATGCTCCATTCAAAGCTGAAATCCAAAAGTGGGTGGCAAAACTAACGGGATCCACGGACATTATCGAGAACTGGCTTGTGGTGCAGAACTTGTGGGTTTACTTGGAGGCAGTGTTTGTTGGTGGAGACATCGCCAAACAATTACCTCAGGTTTGTTTTGCGATTTGTTATGAGTTCCAGTATCCAATTGCGGTTGTACTGCACTCAGAGAGTCAAAAACATGACGTTTCCCCTTTTACTCTATGAGCTCCTTGACGCTACGTGGGTAAATAAAGTATTGATTGATTGATTGATTGATTACTCCCAGGATCTCGTTATTGATTCTCCTTACTGTCTGCTATGCAATTGTTATGTTGTCACTTCGGAGAATTTGGTATTGGATCAACTAATACTCCCCAGATTAATATTTTCTCTATTTTTCTCTTTTCTGCTTGATATTGTATTGATATTGCAAGAAAGTTGAAGGGTTAGGCCAGACCTCAATGAACGCCTTGGGTTAGAAGGTCACCACTTCTGTCCGTGCAGCTTGCAATTGTGAACACTTCCGGTTCAAAATCAATCTTTGGGTGGTGGTTTAAGGAAGGAACACAAGTGAGCAATAACCGTCCAGAAGTGATGTAAAAAGGAGCATAACATTGGTTTAATTCAGTTCAACGAAGACCATATCTTCAGCAGTAGAGGTCTTGGGATCGAAAGTCTTTTCTCAACTCCCTAATGTTGTCACTACGTTATGATTTATGTGACGAGACAGTCGCTCAAAGCTATCTCGATTGCTTTGCTATCTCCCACAGGAAGCAAAACGTTTCAGTCAGATTGACAAATCATGGGTCAAGATTATGAGTCGAGCGCACGAGAACTCCAACGTAGTGCAGTGCTGCATGGGTGATGACACACTTGGACAACTGCTTCCACACATTTTGGAACAACTTGAGATTTGTCAGAAATCTCTGAGCGGGTAAGGAGAGAGAGGGAGAGTTTTAGATAATAACTACATCTGGGACTAGTTTTAATTTGGTAGTGAAGGGACTCTCTCCGTCTATTCGGAGCGGAGAATAAATGGCCTTTTGTATGAACTGCTAGAATTAAATGCTGGTCATTCTTAGTGGCTGAAGGGTTCATTTTACTTTTGATCATACATAGCTACCTTGAAAAGAAGCGACTTGTGTTCCCACGCTTTTTCTTCGTGTCCGACCCCGCCCTGTTGGAAATCTTGGGACAGGCCAGCGACTCTCATACCATTCAGGCTCATCTGCTGGGAGTGTTCGACAACGTGAAAACTGTCACGTTCCACGAAAAGGAATATGACAAGATTCTGGCCATCAATTCGCGCGAAGGGGAATCTGTTACTTTGGAGAACCCGGTTATGGCTCAGGTCAGTTTAACTGCTTATTTTTCACCTTTACTTATGCTGCGCGCTGCAGGATACGTGTGCCCTGGTAAGACAAAAAAGGATATGCAAGGCTTCTGTTGTACACGTCTTTACATTTTTACGGGATAAAGCTCTGGGTAAAATTAATAATTATGTGTCTGTTTAATTGTAGGGCAACGTGGAGGTGTGGCTGAACACACTGTTGAAAGAATCAGGGACTTCATTGCATTCCGTTATCCGAACTGCTTCGATCGCTATCAAGGATCCTAGTTTTAAGCTCAAAGATTTCATGGATAGTTACCCAGCACAGGTAGGTTACATTAATAATAATAATAATAATAATAATAATAATAATAATAATACTAATAATAATAATAATAATAATAATAATAATAATACTAATACTAATAATAATAATAATAATAATAATAATAATAATACTTGCAATACTTGCAGGGATATCAGAACTGACTTACGATGAAGACTTCCCTCTCCCAGATGATCGGACTATTAATATCATGTTTTAGTTGTTATTATTATTTAAGAAGTAAAACCACTTCATAACTTGGAATGTTACGGAAAATCGACGAAAAATCGAAACGAGAAAAACCCCGTCGTAGTGTTACAGCGATCTTAATCTTCTATCAGTTGTTCGTTTCTGATTACATTTTTTGTGGCACTTAGACATACATGTTTTGTCGCGTATTTGTTGTGGTTGGACTGTTTTAATTTGTTTTTTCTAACAGTTGGATCGACACATATATTGTTGAACGTAGTCCGGTAATCTGTTAAGTATTTCCTAACTTCCCCGCAGCGAGCGGTGGCACAGGGTTTCGCTGCAAATCTTTAAGCAATGAGCGTAGCCATACGCTGTATGTTTTTTTTATTTTTGCATTACTGTTAATTATCAAGTTACAAATGTGAAAAAATTCTGAAGGTGGCGAGAGGGCGACCAAGAGAAACTACAGGGCTTTTACATGACGTGCTCCTTCTAGCAAATAATTATATAACCACAGTTAAGATAAGTGGAGAGTGAGGCAGGGTAGAAATTGAGAAGAGTTAAAACGTTATTTTAACTTTTTAATATGTATTAAGCATAAATTATACGATTGTTCGTGTTTTATGACAGGTCGGTTTGCTTGGAATACAGATGATTTGGACAAGAGATGCTGAAGACTCGTTGACTTATGCTAAATCCAATAAAAAGGTAAGAATTATGAATTGTCTGAGCGTTATGTACCGAGTTGAGCACTGATGTTGTTTTCATGGCATCCCGGTCATCAGAGCTGTGCAACAATTAAAAAGACATTTAAGTCTTTTTCTCTGTAGACGAGTTGCCATTAAGGATAGCAAAGTCTAAGCGCATCATTTTATTTAAAAAACCCGCAACGTAAAGGTTTTTAACATATTGAAATGTGCCTATACGCGACAATTACCACTTACACAAGCGGATTATTAATTTTTTTAAAAGATAAATCTCACCTAGGGAGAGTCACTTGCACCTCGGGGCGTTCCCTTAACTACGCCTTTTGTGTAGTTGTATAAGAAAGGAGAAGAAAGTATGATCAGTGCCGCAAAAGTGAAGTGGAAAGGAACGCTGCAGTTCCAACACAGAGGCGGTCCACCAGTGCGACTTGTGAGTCAGAGATTGCCATTCGCGCATCGGCCTGTTCAGTCGCAGGCGGCCCTCTTCCATCGTCATCACAGACCGAAGGAGGCCAACAACAACAACAACAACAACAACAAAAATAATAGGAGTAAATCCGCGAACTTGTGTCACATGTTAGCTGCTATGTTTTTTCGTAGATCATGGATGAACGGAACCAGTTTTTCCTTAACATGCTGAACGAGTTGATCGAGGTAACCACGCAGGAACTGACCAAAGTGGAACGAGTCAAGTTCGAAACCCTTGTCACCATTCATGTTCATCAACGAGACATTTTTGATGAATTGGTAAGCCAGAGTTCATTTGTTGGTTTTTTTTTATATATATATATACATATTGATTTTTAAGGATTAAATCAAAATCTAGATTTTAATCTTAATATTCAGAATTTAATTTTAATTGTTTCAAAAAACGCAACTGAGGAATATGGGAAACGTTTCGTTTAAAAGAAGTCGTAAATTATTATCAACGTGTTAAAGAAGACTAACGAAAGTAAAATTTCCCCAATGCTTCGAATTTGTTAAAATCTGAAAAAAAAAAAAAAAAAAAAGGAAAATTGAAAGAAAACCTTAAAGCCCTCACGAAAAAAGTCGTCAAACGGTTTGCCATGTTAATTACTTACGAGTTTACAAGTGAAGTCAACCATATATGATTGGTGTCCTTCGACGGGTTTTCGTTGTGTGGTCTTGCCACGCAGCGCGTTCTGTCACTCGACCCGTTTTTCCCTTGTCAGAGAGCGTGCTGCGTAGTAGAACCTAGCAACGGCTGCGGAAAAGCCTTCACATACATGATTTATATCTATTCCATCAACTTTTCACCAGTGCCGCAAGAATATCAAGGTACCGACAGATTTTGAATGGCTGAAACAGTCACGCTTCTACTTCCGCGAGGAGACTGATGAGTGCGTGGTGTCCATTACTGATGTGGATTTTGTCTATCAAAATGAATTCTTGGGGTGTACCGACAGACTTGTCATCACGCCTTTGACTGACAGGTATTATTCAATCTAAGGTTTTTTTTTTTTTTTTTCAAGAAATCTTTGCACCTTTTCCATCACTGTCACTTCTTTTTCGCGCGTAGAAGTTGTTGATCGCTCACGAGATGTGAAAAAAGAAATTCGCGAGAAACTAAAACGCAGGTTTATGGTCAGCGGATGGAGCACGCATCGCGAGAAGGTTCGAACTGTGGGCATGGTTATCTTTGGGTCATGTAGTCTTGCTCTTCTGGACTACCTTTCTAGTTCTTCTGGACAACCTTTCTAGTGACACGTAAACAAACAATGACCTTGGTTGTTTAGCAGAATGTTGTATGTCATTCACGAATGAATTATTTCTTTGTCACTACCTTAGGTGTTACATCACTCTAGCCCAGGCCCTCGGGATGTCAATGGGTGGTGCCCCCGCAGGGCCAGCGGGGACTGGAAAGACAGAGACAACTAAGGTGAGATCAAAAAGAAGATATTGGTATTCTCATTGGCTGATGACATGATCCATTTAAGAGTTAGTTGTTAGAAAAGTCAGTGTCATTGAGCAAATGTACTTGGTGTTTGTTGTAGGACATGGGGAAAGCTTTGGGTAAATTTGTCGTCGTTTTCAACTGCTCGGATCAGATGGACTACCGTGGTCTGGGTCGAATCTACAAAGGTACCTTCTTCTTGTCTCTGGCTCTGTTTAAGAATGACTTTTAAGGGGGAACAGAAAACGATGAAAAATGAATTCTGACTTCATTCACTTTTGATTTAATCTTTAAAATCATGCTTGTAGAAAAATTTGCAGTATCTTATTAGCACATTTTATGAGAATATTTCAACTTGTGGGTGAGATCAACTGAAAGAAGACCGCTATAAGTTTGCCATAAACATCATACTTAATCTCTTGGTTTTTCTTTTTTTAATTTATTCTCACTGTCAAGTTTTATGCACCTCGAAAAAATGTAGGCTAAATTTTTCAATTCCGTTATTTATTTATCGACAATATTTAATCAGGCTAACTCGGTGTAGTTGCAAGCTGGGTTGGGGCCTTTTGGTGCGGGGTGACGTGGTTTGGATTAAATATCACGCGATATTTGTACTCCAGAAATATCCGCGAAATTCGCCCGCATTGAAATAACAATTTGGCTTGTTGGATAATAAATCGTTTGTATTTTGACTCACCCTACGGGCTCGTCAAAATACCGCACAACTCATAAAAATACTCAGTGATATTACACAACAAAACGTCCGATAAGATATATTTATTCTTCATTCCATCAGGTTTGGCGCAGTCCGGAAGCTGGGGCTGTTTCGATGAGTTCAACCGCATTGAGCTGCCTGTACTGTCCGTGGCCGCTCAACAAATTCACGTGGTGCTCACGTGCAAGAAAGAGAGGAAAAAAATGTTCATTTTCACGGATGGCGATGAAGTTGATATGGATCCAGAGTTTGGTATCTTTTTGACAATGGTAAGTGTGAGGACAAGATACACCCATATTAAGCAAAAATATATAAGATGTTTCCTTCAAATGATTATGAAATAAAAATTTGTTATTAATGACACTTATCGTATATTGTTTGGTGTTCCCTAGTGATTGTCTTTAGATGAGAGCAATATTTTGATTGGGAATCAGGTTGTGAAGGGAAACATGATGGAATTTACCTTTCATCGAAGATAATCAAAGTTGGAGTATCGTGTAGTGTTTTCCTTGCTAGATATCTGGGGCTCGCTAGGAATACAATGTTTCTTCATCACCTATCCTCGGATATATCTCTCCAAATGAAAAATAAAATTGTGGTATGGCAGCTAGCAACGTTTGTGACCAAAACCGCGGGACACTTGGTTCTCTGGCGATAATAGTGATTTTTTAACTGTTTTGAATAGAACCCAGGCTATGCCGGTCGCCAAGAGCTGCCTGAAAATTTGAAGATCATGTTCCGTACAGTGGCCATGATGGTACCTGACAGACAGATCATTATCCGTGTCAAGCTTGCTGCTAGTGGTTTTATCAAAAACATCAACTTGTCCCAGAAATTCTTCACGTTGTACAAACTGTGCGAGGAACAGCTCACCAAACAGGTTTGTCTGATGTTTTTTATCCCGTTTCAATGGAGTTTTTAAATTGTTTGACAAACGGGTTGGTGATTTCTTCCAACACATAAATAAAAGTGCACGACCTTTCGTTACTGAGGTTGCAGTTCTTAAACAATCTTACCAAATTAAATAATAATTTTTTCGTAGTTGTTAATCTTTTATTTGACTTTTAACTCGCGTGAACGTAAAATTGTACTAGTATTTCGAGCAAGATGCGCGTCTAGAAATGTTTCAAGCATAAACTTTAACTTCCTAATTTTTTTGTTCTTAACCCCAGGTGCATTACGATTTCGGTCTTCGGAACATTTTGTCCGTGTTAAGGACTCTTGGAGCAGTGAAGAGAGCCAATCCTGAGGTAATGTGCTCGCTACTTCTACCTCTCTTCTCATCTTTCAATTAGTCGATTTTCAAGGGTATACGTGCAACGACATTCACTTTAAGTTGGTTACCCTGCTTAGCAAGAGCTCAGATGACTGCGTGGATTCTTAGCGCGCGTTTCTTGCGTGAGTGGTGTAGTCTCGTAGGCCGCGAATTTTCCTATTTCAGTAGTTTGAATAACTCACCTTTTTTTCTTGACTATGTTATTCTCATCGAGTGTCACCCTTGATTAACAACTCTTTGTACCAAACTCTTGTTTAGCAGACACACCTCTTTGTATCAAACCATCCCTGATAGCGGCTCTTAAAACTGTGATCAATCATGACCTCGTATTCTGCGTTTAAAATCCAGTGATTTTGTTGTTTCTCTTCTTTCAAAATCACCTAACAATTTTTTTGCTCCATTATTAGGATAGCGAAGATCGTATTGTGATGCGAGTGTTACGGGACATGAATTTGAGCAAGCTGGTTGACGAAGATGAACCACTTTTCATGAGTTTGATTGATGACTTGTTCCCAGGCCTCACTCTAGACAAAGCAGGGTACCCGGATATTGAACAAGCCATTGCTGACGCTGTCGAGGAAGTTAAACTTGTCAATCACGCCCCGTGGACACTCAAACTGATTCAGGTTTTACATATACTCTGTAATAATATTTCAGTCGACAGTTTTTCAGCTGGTCGTAGTTGCGGAAATATGGAGAATGAATGACTTAGATTGAAAACAACATAATAAAACTTTATGTTAAATTTTTAAATCCACAAATGGTTACCTGGCTCATTGATAGTGGAGAATGTACAAGTGTTGAGACAATTCTTTCTTGAAAATGCCCTTGGAGATATGAGATTTTTTTTCTAGTAGTGCTTGATAGTGTTATGTCGAGCTAACCGTGTCGTTTCTACTCACAAGCTCTATGAAACTCAGCGCGTTCGTCATGGTATGATGGCCCTGGGTCCCAGTGGTGCTGGAAAGACCAAGTGTATAAACATTCTGATGAAAGCCATGACACAGTGTGGGGCACCACACAAAGAGTACCGTATGAATCCTAAGGTAACATGACAACTGCGTTCTGCTTACTGATTTACCATGTTAACAAAAATTGTCTTTTAGACATTCGTTACTGGCGCGTGCTATAGAGGTTTTGCACAGCAGCCATGTTGGATGGCAGGAACAATGAAAATATTTTGCGTAAGAAAGAAAAAATTTTCCCATGGGTAAAATAATCTATTTTTAAAATCCTATTTAAAAAATAGGACCCTATATCTACCAGGCTAACGGTGGAGTTCTTCTGACGATTTACTGGGTTCGTGTGTGTCGCAAGACCTGGGTTGTACTTAATCAACATATAGTTTCAGCAATAGAGAAAGAACTGTATGCTTGAAATGCAGAAATTTAGCATTTCTTTTAGCACTTTGAGGACCGAGAGGCTTTCCTTGGCAAAAATATTTGGTGATTTTTGTTGATAACGGAGAAATTTGACGTTTACGTCAAATCAAGCGCTTATAGTCTTGTGTAATTAACAAATTGTCAGTGATGTAGCGTGGTCTGTACCCTTATCGAGAACGATATTCGTCATCACAGTGGTCAAAATGTTGCGGACTCACGGGGCGCTACCGAGATCACTCTAAACCACTGTCGATTTGTTTTTTTACCTCAATATCGACGTCAAATAAAACGATTCTTTCAGTGCGTGGCACGTTGACGCAAGCAGCGTCGTCTGTACTCTTCTCGACAACGGCAAACTGGCCAATTAGATCGTCGCGACATCACTGTCAATTGTGCTAAAACATTTCTTCTTCATATTAGGCAATCACTGCTCCTCAAATGTTTGGTCGACTGGACGTTTCCACCAATGACTGGACCGACGGAATCTTTTCCACGCTTTGGAGACGAACCCTGAGAGCAAAGAAGGTATTTATTTACACAAAGAGTGGAGTTTCTTCGTCTAGCATGATCTGGAGAGATTAAATCTTGGACTTTTCCGTTAAACTGTAAGGCGCTGTCGAATAGTACAGGAAATCATGCTCGAACGTTTGATACATTATTTGATTCTTTGTCCCGGACTTCAATGTACTTACTTGTCGTCTGACATAAAATTACATTTTTTAGCTTGGTTTTTCAAAACTTAATAAACTGTAATCACAAGTTCCCCCTCAGCGTGCCCGCGAAACATTCAGATAAAAGAGGAAATACAATCTAGAGGAGAACTAAACGTTTCCTTTTAATGTTTAAATATCACTGAACATTTTTTACAAGGGAGAACACATATGGATTGTTTTGGACGGTCCTGTGGACGCTATCTGGATTGAAAATCTGAACAGTGTGTTGGATGACAACAAAACACTAACCTTGGCTAACGGTGATCGTATTCCAATGGCACCAAACTGCAAGGTTGTGTTCGAACCCCATAACATTGACAACGCCTCACCGGCCACAGTTTCAAGGTAAAACAACAATCCGTTTTTCGGGAAATTTACTGTGAAGAATAGCTGTTGTGAACTGTGTTATTAAAGCGCTCGTTGATTGAGTGTCATAAAACCAGGTTAAGTTATTCACAACGGTCAATCCGAAGAAAGGAAATAACATGTGAGAGCCGATGAGAACTCGAAGCGAAAACGACTAAACTGCCAAAAGCGCGGGAAAATGCGAGAGGCAAAGTCTGAATTGGTTTTAGTTTTGCTTCTGTTTAGTTGAGTTTTCTGGAGTTTTCTGAAATTACTCCAATACAAAACCTATGTAATAGTTGATAACTGTCGAAAGCCAGTTTAAAATTCTATCTCTAAGTGTGTTCTAATATCAACAATTCTATTATTCTTACGTTCTCTTGTATAGAAATGGTATGGTTTACATGAGTTCATCTGCGCTGGATTGGAGACCTATTTTAAAGGTTAGCTTTTTAGTTTTATCTCCTTTAACACTGCGTTTAGTCTTTAAAATTTATCATAAGACGTCTTTCGTGATTCGAAACTCGGGGAAATTAAAACATATTTGACTTAGACAATGATCGAACCGATTTGCATCAGATCATTTGTTGTTAAAAAAATTTTACTTTTCCTTTTAAGAGAAAAATCGTTTCTCCATACAGTGTCCGATTAATCCTTTTACTGCTAAGACTGACCATCATCTAATTTCTCCTTACGATATCACCCCTGAATCAAACATTAAGGACATGAGAATACAGGAAACGATCAACAACCAAAAAGGCTCTTGATTGTTCAACAAACTCTCCTTGTCATAACCTAAGAAATGTATTAAGTAAAATAAAGAGAATGTGCATACTGATTTAATTAAATTTTTCATCGTCAGGGATGGTTAAACACACGTCCACAACTCGAGGCTGATATCCTCTTCTCTCTGTTCGAGAGCGTGTTTGATGAACTGAGAACATTTGTTATCCAAAATTGTGTACCCAAGATGGAGGTTGGTGACACTTCAGCTCTAGTGTGTAACGCGCTTGATTTGCAGTGTTACTTGTAGACCCGGTTGACTACATTGAGGGTCCCCTATACTTTGCACGTGAAGCGTGATTGGGCGATTTTTTTTCTCGTGAATCGTGATTTGACTTTTTTTTTTTGTTAGCCGTGAATCGTGATTGAAGATGATAAGATCTTTTCATATCCGTGTGAACGAATTGTTTTATTTAAACGTGATCCATGAATTAAGAGCGGAATTAAAAGTGATTCGTGAACCATTTTGTTTTGCGTGATAAATTTCCGGTTATTTTATGGCTTTGGAAATGTTGGTATTGTTTTTGAACGGCTGTGGTTGGGTTTTGATAAGGGTGGGTGGACCAGGAGATGGACTTGATATGAATCGATAAAAATGATAAAACAGACCACTAGTAGTTCTTAAATAAATAACATAAGACATCAAGTCTTCTTTTTTTGCGTAATACTTGTCGAGACAAAAAAAAAAAAAAAAAAAAAACTACGCGACTGAAGTTTTGCAAAGGGTTATAGGGGACCAACTACTTTGCCATGTTGGAAAAAGAAATTTGCCCAAGCAAATGGCTAGTGTAACCTCAGCCAAAGTAACTCATCTGTTGCCTGTTTTTTCTTTTTCCTTTCAGGTCCTTGAGTGTAACAACATCGTTCAAGCCATGAACATTCTAGAGGGTTTGATTCCGGGCGAGGATGCCCCAAAACAAGTCGATGCGAGTCATTTGGAAAAACTGTTCGTGTTTTCTCTCATGTGGAGTGTCGGAGCACTGCTTGAGCTTGAAGATCGTAAGAAGGTAACGGAGTGCAACGAGTTAAAAGAATTCAGCCTATTATTTATATATATATTTTTGTCACACAACTTCTTGAAAAACGTTTCATTAATGCAAAATGAAAGCACTATTATTCCCGTCATGGCGAGCTGATGAATCACGAACCCAAGAAGTTTCAATGGTTTTGTTCCTATGCAAGTGATAAATCCTGCAAAAAAGGTTTTGAGAACTTGACCTCTACAACTCTTTGTGTCAACTAACTACATGTACTTTTTCTGGCCGTAATTGAGTTATGATATCTATAGTTCTCTCCATTTGTTATCACAGATGGAAGAATTTTTGAGTGGAAAAGGCAGCCTCAGTTTACCTCCAGCTGAAGGACAAGACACAATTTTTGAATACCTGGTGAACGAGGAAGGGGAATGGGAACATTGGTCACAAAGAGTAAGTTAATTCAAAAGCATATCACGTATCGTAAGACTGTAAAACATCGAGTCTTAAGAACCTCATTTATCATTGTTCAAAATTGACTTTAAGGTTTGCAAACTTAGTTGAAAAAATTGTTTTAATTTCCATTTGCCCAATTTTTACGGCTCGACGCGCAATCAGATTGTCGGTGTATTTAACGCAAACAGAATCTTGTTCGCGTTTGCATTCTGATACCTAGTTCCGTCACGTGAAAGTTCTTTAAAGCGAGAATATTCCAACGCTGTAATTTTATTTCTTCTCAAGTTATGGCCTACTGCTATGATCCTTTTGTAGGTTCCAGTCTATGAGTATCCGAAGACCACCATTCCAGAGTATGCTTCCATTTTGGTCCCTAATGTGGACAACACTCGAACTGACTACCTCATCCACGCTTTGGCCAAACAGGGCAAGGTAGCTCTTCTTTAGTTTTTATTTTAGAAATAACTATTTCTCTTGCGTCGTATATATTCTTATGAACAGGCGTTGGATTGTCAGAATAGTCTACGGATCCAGCTGTTGTCCCGCCCGGGTAGTCGTTAGGCATCGAATATCAGAATGAGCTATTTTAATTCAGACATGGCGAATGTTCTCCCCATATTTTTCACTATTATACTGCTACTACATTTTTTGATGTCCTCCAAGAGGTTGCCTGCATATATGAATTTTTGACAGAGAATGACTTGACATGTTCCTCTGGGTAGAAGAATCAGTTAAGCCATATATTAAAGATATTACAATATTTGGCGTCTTACGTGAAGTATCCCGGTAGTTTATTAGTAGTCCTTCATTTCGCTTACTAGACCCAGAGGTCGAAAGTCGACATTCCATGTGCAGGGCCCAGTTGTATAAGGAGCGGATAACGCTCTCCAACGGATGAATCGCTTTGCAGTGCTAGCAAAACGTACTGCGCTATCCACCGGACAAAAATTAACCACTGAATAACGTGCATCCAACCTTCGAACAATCGGGGCCAGGTCCACAACTTATCGATGTACTGTGTTATTTTTTAGGCCACTGACTAAATTTGAAACTTAGACAATGTATTTTTTTTTCCTTAGGCTGTGCTATTGATCGGTGAACAGGGCTCTGCTAAGACAGTCATGATGAAGGGTTACTGTAACAAATATGACCCAGAACAACAACTCTTTAAATCGCTCAATTTTTCTTCCGCGACCACACCCAATATGTTCCAGGTAAGTTTTTTTGTTTGTGTGGTTGAGTGGCCCTACATGACCAGCCGTAAAGCCATGCATTACATCACTATTGAATTACTACGTAATGACTTTCTGGAAACGACCATGTCCGATAATAACCAAACCGTTACTGCTTTTCCAATTTTATGCACGTTATGACTTTTTCTTTTCACTCTGGTTCTCAGATCGGCCCAGTCCTGGGGTCGGCTGTTGAAAGGCGGTCAGTGCTGAATTAGGACTCAGAGTTAAACCGGGGGTTGCTTTCTCTTGTCTAGCATCGCATATTACGGCCAACGTTTTGTGGGGTTTATGTTGTGAAATAATTGCCATAAGGTTGTTAAACCAGATTTTCGTATCATTATTTTTTAAAACACTATTCTTAGGTCGGGGCAATCTTGTTGTGATAAACGCTACCCATTGTTTAGCGAAAGAAAAGGATACACCTTTTTTCCCCGTTGTCTTTAAATGATTTGTTAAATTTTTTTAGCTATATGTATATTTTCCTAGTAAAATAGAGCATTCCCTGTCTGCTCTGCAAACCTGCCTGAGACAAGAACGTATTTGCCACCGTTTTGTTTTTTTGTTTCTTGATTGACTTTAGCGAACTATCGAGAGCTATGTGGACAAACGAATGGGAACAACTTACGGCCCTCCAGCAGGAAACAAAATGACAGTGTTTATTGATGACATCAACATGCCAATCATCAACGAATGGGGAGACCAAGTAAACAACTTTTATACTCTCTTATAATCAGGGGTGTTTGTCGATACAGTGTAGGAAGGTCATCTCCTGTCTTCTTGAAATATTGCTGTTCAAAATCGTTATATAAAAAATCAAGGAGAGGTCATCGACCTATATATCCATCCGAGGGGGCGAGGGTAATGGGAACTCAGATGGAATGATCGTCACATTCATTGAATTCTCAGTTTAATATCTGGACGATTCACTGCCGATGGAACAGAATTTTTTGTGTAAACAGGAACTTTCAGTTTTTAACAATTCTCAGTTACCAAGTTTCGGTCAAGGTAAAACAATCGAATACCTTCTTATTAAGCTTTAGAAATGGGAATTAACCACTTCTTGACTGTTACATTCCGGTTTTTTTTTACTTAAGATGTTTGTCTATTCCTTTTTTTGTTTGTTTGTTTGTTTGCAATACTGTGAATATTAATCAGAGAGACTTGTGCTTTCTGTTATTTAATTTTCTGCTTAGTTTTTATTTAGCGTAAATTCGTGCGGTTTCGGCTGATCCAGTTTTATAATTTTTAGATTACCAATGAAATCGTTCGACAAGTGATGGAAATGAGGGGCTTCTACAGTCTTGATAAACCCGGTGATTTCACCAGCATAGTTGACATTCAGTTTGTGGCAGCCATGATTCAACCAGGAGGAGGTCGCAATGACATTCCAAGCCGCCTGAAACGTCAGTTTACCATCTTGAACTGTACTCTTCCTGCAAATGCTTCGATTGACAAAATCTTCAGTTCTATTGGCGTTGGCTACTTTACCGTCGAACGGGGATTCCCAGTGGAGCTGCAAAAGATGGTTAATCCTTTGGTGTCGAGCACGAGGAAGCTTTGGCAGAAAACGAAGATCAAAATGCTTCCCACGCCAGCCAAGTTTCATTACATCTTCAATTTGCGGGATCTCAGTAGAATTTGGCAGGTATTTGTCAAAGAAATGAAGTTTTTTTACGAGGTGTGCAGTTTTCTCAATACGTCCGTTTTGAAAATACGTGTGTCAAACTGGCAAACCATACACGCGCGAGTAACACAATAAGTTAACTTACTTATTATTTTACCTGAGGTCGTGACTGTGCTTCCGAGCTTGCGTAACTGGTTTTGCTAAATGATTGGACAAAGTGATCGGTCGGGCGGTCAATCGGTCGGTTCGTCAGTCGGTCCGTCGGTCAGTCCGTCGGTTCGTACTCTGTTCGTGAGTCTGTGAGTCAATCAGCCGGTCAATCAATCATCGATGCACTGAGGCCAAGAACCATTTAAGCAATATATGATATACCAAGCAATGACTCAATTAATTCACTAACTGATTTTGATATTCATTAATTTTTTTTCTTTTTTTTTTTAACAGGGCATGCTCACTGTGACATCTGAGGTAGCGACCACTCCCACAGTTTTCCTCAACCTTTGGAAGCACGAGTGTAATAGAGTCATTGCCGACCGCTTCACGAATTCGCGGGATAAAGATTGGTTCGAAATAGCCATCAAACAGGTTGTGGAAGAAGACTTCGACGCGGAGACTAGCAGCCTTTTGGAGGCGGAACCTTACTTTGTAGATTTCATGCGAGATGCCCCTGAACCAACTGGTAAGAAGATTTTTGATGCGAAACAAATGATACTCTAGTGCCTGGTTTCGAATACGATTACTGGAGCAAGCAATCCCAGACATTTACTGACTTCTCCAAAGTGTAAAACACTATTGATTTCGCAGCTCTAGCAACAGCGATAACAAAGTTAGGCTAGGTTTATTAAATCCCAGTTGTTACGACCACTTTTCCTTGGCTACATAACAAACAGAGATAACTTCTTAGCATTATTAATTGCACCCTAGGCAACAGAGAAGGATTCACATTTATAATTTGTTGTAGTCTATAGTCCGTGATTTTCCTACCCATGTCTTCTAGGTTCTTCATATTTGAATTTTTCATATGACCAGTTGGTTGTAGAAGCTAATCTAAAACAGTGTTCTCAAGCTTCCTCGTAGATGTAGAAAGAAACAATGGCTGAGAATTCATATCGTTACAGGTGGAACCTGGTTAGAGTCAGCATTTACCCAATTTCCCAACGAGCCTACACCAGACAGAAAATTGAACACCTCAAATATGTTTCTCTAAGCTAAAATAACTGCTTACTGAATGGAAAGGCTTCTGCCAATGAAAAACTGTAGACTCGCCGTTTACTTCCCCCGAAATAATCTTGGCTCTAATGTCTTGGTTTACCTTTATCTCCTCTGAGCCTTAAATTTCTGTACTCTTGGTTCTCTCAAATGTTTCTTTTGATTTGCCTGTTTAATCATAATATTCTTAAACTTTAAGGCCCCCTTATTCCCACCCTCTCTCTCTCTCAAGGCACTTTCACTTTCAGGATTCTAATCTGTTCTCTTGACTGCTTGCAAGTTTCTTTTGCCAGGCTTCGTTTCTTCAATCTAATCTGCTCTTTAGCTTTAGTTGCAACAGAAAACAAGAACACTGATGATGTCAAAGCCGCGAAGCCCAAAGGTTCGAAGATTGCATCAACTGGTGGACCCACTGTTGGGCCTAAGGGCCCAGGTAAAAAAAAAATGTTGTTTGTCTCTGTCCTTCTTTATCCAGACAAAAACTCCCGTTCTGAGAAATTCTCCGTTTTCAAGCATCTTCTGGTAAAACAAGTATCTTCTGTAAAACAGGAAAACGAATTTTACAGCTAAGACCTCTATTCTTTTGTATATTGGGTATTCTTCATCTTAAGAAATGGTCACTCCTGAAGTATACTTTAGGAGCGCAACACTCAGTGCTCCGGTTTACCTCTCGCAAATGCACACTGAACTCTCTTTAACCCTTTACACCCCAACATCAGTATGCATATTCTCCATACTGTTCTCTATACATTTCCTAAGGTGTCGACGAGGAGAATTTGTTGAACAATCAAGAGCTTCTTGAGTTCGCGATCATTTCTTTTATTCTCATGACTTGATGTTTGATTCTGAACTGATACTTTTGAAACAACTAAGACGTTTATCACTTTTGGGGTGGAAAGGGTCAAACAAGAAAAGAACAGCCTCAAACTTGAATTTCGTTTGTTTTCTCTACTCTTCTACTGCTTTTGTTTCGTACATTAGCGGCTCATCTTCCTGTTTTTATCTCAAAACTTAAAACAACATTGCTAACTCCAGTTTTCTCTGTCCTGGAAACGGATTAATCAAATGTTTTTACCCTGTATTACCTCTCAGTCCATAGTTGGAGTAAAGAGTTAAACCTTTAAAGTCTTTCACGTTTACCCTTTTAATCTTTCTGATTTACTTCGAAAGAAATTGGAAACAAAATTTGCTCTCGTCATCTTTCACCAATCTGATCCAGGTTTCCTGGTCGAAAAAAGAGATTAAGAATTGTATATAACGAAACATGTAGCTAGCTTAGAATGTCTCAGATTTACCTTTGTATGGTAGGTATTTTATATATTTATAGTACATTTGCTATTTATATTGGGATTTGCTAATAAAATCGAATGAAAATCGAACAGAGGGCAGAGGGCCATGTGTTAGAAAACTCTTTACTGGGTTAATCATGTATTTACCCTCTTAAAATAAAGAACCTTGTATTGTATTGTATTGTATTGTATTGAACCAAAGTAACGACAACGGTCTTTACAAATCAACGACAAAAGCAAAGGTCAAAACATGCATACGCTGGAATATGCGAGCGACCAGCCCGCAATGGGCTGTAGTCTTGCATCTGATTTGTTTAGAGTGTTTTGCGAATTTCCTGGACCAATCAGAGAAAGCAGTGAAGCAAAACCAATGTTATGTCCAATTACTCGCAGCACTTAACTAAACCTGTGTAACCTGCTGCAGGTGAAGAGCCCGAAGATGCAGATCTTGAAGCACCAAAAGTATATGAACCTATCGGGACATTCGAAATCCTCAAGGAGCGATTGGGAACCTTCATGATTGGCTATAATGAGGTGGTTCGTGGAGGCAATATGGATCTTGTCTTCTTCAAGGTACAAAGCTCGTGTACTTGGATTTAACACAATTTAGCTTTTGTTTGCAGATAGTTATTATACTCAGCGGTATTTCGCCGACATCTCAGCTGTATCTCTCCGTCAATCAAGACCATATATTGGTGGAATTTTCAGAGAGATATCAGGGATGGGGGGCACAACAGCCAAACATTGACCCTCTCTTTCTAGGATTATAGTTGTGGGGTAACGTGTGCCTATAGGAAGGGAGGAACACCTTTATGCGAGCATATTACACAGAGTGAAGTTAAACGAATAGCAATTATGTAGTCTCTTTTGGGGTAAATGTTGGTTGTTCCAGGCTGTGTAGCAAGCTCTCAAACAATACTTTATGTGGGAAGGTTCGAGTTGTAAAGTTGTTTAATCGCCTCCTTAGGCAGTTGCTTACTGTATTTTGCTTCAGCAGTTGAGTTTTAGCTCAATTGGTGAGAACGCTGGTCTGTTGTGCTGGAGGTCGAGGGTTCGAGCCCCTGCCGGACCAACACTCATGGTCTTGAAATAGCTGAGGAGAATGTACTACCTTTCTATAATATCAAGAAATGGATAGACATTTTAGTCTTCTCGGATAAGGACGAATAAACCGTAGGGCCTGTCTCCTGCATCTTTAATTGGATAATTTGATTAGGCAGAGGACGTCAAAGAACACACATCACGAGATTACTGTGATGTGGTCTGGCCTCGTTACTGGGAATTGGGGGGAGGGGGCATCTGTAAAACATTCGCTTTTGTTGATTGTAAACTGCCACTGGCAGTCTGGTGAAGTCCCCCGCACAGTATTGTAAAGCGCATTTGATCATATCCACATGTTAATTCGCGCTATATAAATGTTAATTCATTCATTCAATTTTTTAATTTCAAGTTAAGTTTTCTCCTTTCTTCAGGACGCCATGGTACATCTTATCAAGATATCTCGTATCATTCGTACCCCTCGTGGGAATGCCCTGCTAGTGGGTGTTGGAGGTTCAGGAAAGCAAAGCTTGACACGACTCGCTTCCTTCATCGCTGGATACCAGATCTTTCAAATCACCTTGACAAGGTAATACCCTTTCTCTTTCAATCGAAATAAAACATGCAGCTCTCGTAATAGTGAATGATGACCGATTTCATATCAGTAGGACTTTGCGCAAATGGTGGATTTTTTTTTCATGGCTATTAACTCCAACAAGAAAGAATAATTAAGTCTCTTGCCTCGTGTCTCGTCAGTGCAACGAATCATTTTTAACCCCAACTAAAGATGGAGTAAAATATTTATCGCTGGACAAGATTGAAGGAATTATCCGTTGTATCCAAAGCCGTTAACTAGCTAACAATGTACCCACAATTTCGGACGTGACTCTTTGAGAAAAGATCGACCGTTTAACTACATAACATTTCGTAACATTACAATCTCCGCAGTTTAATCTCTCCTATCTTCAGTAAGACTTCTCTTCCTACTTCCTGGGTCAGTTTATAACTGGTTCGTCAGTTGAACCCGACATTGATGATCATTGAACATTCTCGGAAAAATAAATATGACATTTTACTCTTTGAAGATCTGAAGTTTTGTTGCTTTCCTCTGAATAGTGCGCACTAATGTACCCAAAACAAAGTAAGTAGTTGTCAGATATCTCTGTGTTATTAAAGTCTTTTTTCTTTAGATCCTACAATGTCTCAAACTTGATGGAGGATCTCAAAGTGCTATACAGGACTGCTGGACATCAGGGAAAAGGAATCACTTTTATATTTACAGACAACGAAATCAAAGACGAAGGATTTTTAGAGTACATGAATAACGTGATAGCGTCAGGAGAGGTTCGTATTCCATATTGCTTTTAATTTTGAGGTGCCTTATTTACTTATTTACTCAGTAAATAACCTCTACGACTATTTATTTACGAAAATTTAATGCGCAGTCGGTTCCGAAACACGTTTAGTTCTCGCAACATATTGTTAACACCGGTTATCACTAATCAACTGAACACTCCTCTGAGCTCTACAATTTTTTTCTTTTTGGAAGTAGTGCCTCTGTTGGAAACATCTATCCCAGTTTGTGAAACCTGCTTAACATCTTAGAGTAGAATCAAAAGGAGTTATTCACGTTTAATTTCATTGTCAACTCAAGGTATCCAATCTGTTTGCTCGAGACGAGATCGATGAGATCACGCAGGATCTTATTAGCGTAATGAAGGCTGAGTACCCGAGGAGACCGCCAACCAATGAAAACCTCTACGACTACTTCATCACTCGCGTCAAGAACAACCTTCATGTTGTACTTTGCTTTTCACCGGTAAGGACCTTGTTCGTTTGTGCATCCAAAATGATATCAAGCTTACCGTCCGTCTGCCTTTCTGTGTATCTCTCCGTCTGTCTGTCTGTCTGTCTGTCTGTTTGTCTATCTGCCTATTCGTCTGTCCGTCTAGCTGTGTGTCTGTCTGCCTATTCGACTGTCCGCCTAGTTGTCCGACTGTCTTTCTGTCTGTCTGCCTATTCGTCTGTCCGTTTATCTGTCTGTCTGTCTTTCTGTCTGTCATTCTGTTTGTCTGCCTATTCGTCTGTCCGTCTAGTTGTCTCTATCCCTTTTTTAGTCAGCGTGTTTCCCGCTTGACCTCCTTTTTTTTTTTTCGAATAATGTAAGCTGATTAACCAGGGGACAGGCTGAAAGACTCGGACCGCGGGATGAAATGACGAAAAATGATTGGCTTGCTTCTTTTCAATCTGAGAATTACTGGCTGATAAACTGATCGACTGACCACTGATTTATCAACCACTGATTGGTCGACTGACTGACTCATCGTCTGACTGATTGTCCAACTGACTGACCAACTGACTGACTGACCGATTGACTTAGTGATGGAGTGACTCTTTGAACGAATGCTGTACTAACTGACCAAGTGACTGAATTTTTTTTTGTATCATTGACTATTTCTCCTTCAGCGTGGTACAGACGCCTTTCAAATACAATTTGAAAATGTTTTTTACCGCTGACGAAAAAAAACGAATATTTTTAGGTTGGAGAGAAGTTCCGTAATCGTTCACTGAAATTTCCTGGACTGTTTAGTGGTTGCACAATGGACTGGTTTAGCCGCTGGCCAAAAGATGCGTTGATCGCAGTGGCCTCGCACTTTCTGTCCTCGTTTGAAATTGTTTGCACCGAGGAAACGAAATACGCTGTTGTCAACACCATGGGGGTTATACAGGTAAGCTGCGACTGGAGAGATAAATGTGTAACTGCAGCTTAAGCAGAAACATCAAGTAAATAGCTAAATCTAAGAATTATTAACAGATGATGGAATGGTCAACTTGAAAGCTGTAACCTCGTGATTACACTGAGATTTTTCACAGCATATATTTTAATCGATGTAGATAATCATCGTCATCAACTCTTCTCACTTCTTGTGGGTGGTTCTCGTATTTCTTTAAATTTTTGTTTTGTTTTGTTTTTTTCTTATGTTCTGAAGAATATTAGTTGAAGCCTCTCCAAAACCAGTGTTGTTAGTGGAAGAGCAAAGAGAGGAGAAGTCTTTCTTTGAGCCGTGTGGACTTCCGAACACGGTTTACATCACATGTTTGCTTGTGGCATTTTCAATGGTTTACCCAAATTTGACCAGTAAAAGATGCGTGTGTGTGTGTGTGTGTGTTTTTTTTTTACTGTCGCCGCAGTTATTAGGGTTTTCAGTTGAATTTTTTGCCTTTTTCTAACCCAGGACAATGTAGCTGAGATGTGTGTTCAGTACTTTGAGCGATTCCGTCGGCAAACTCACGTGACTCCCAAGTCCTATCTGTCTTTCTTGAGCGGCTACAAAGGCATCTACAGCGCACAGCACGAAGCCATTGGTCTTCTTGCGCAACGCATGAACACGGGATTGGCAAAACTTGTTGAGGCTAGCGAGTCCGTGGCGAAGCTTTCTGAAGAGCTCGTTGTGAAGGAGAAGGAGCTGGCTGTTGCCTCAAAGAAAGCGGACGTAGTCCTTCAAGAGGTAACTGTCAGCGCCACGGCTGCCGAAAAAGTGAAGTCACAGGTGCAGAAGGTCAAAGACAAGGCTCAGGCTATCGTGGATGAAATTGCGGTGAGTTAAAAACGCTCTGTGATGCTTTATTGGGTGGTTTTGCTTATTTTTGCGTATGGTCACCATATCTTAGGCCATTTTAATCAGGGAAACATGCCTTAGTTTATCCATAGTTTTTCCTTTGGAATTTTTTCATTGCCCCGTTCATCATCAGACATCTGTATTACTCACAACAGGAAGATAAAGCAGTTGCAGAGGGAAAGCTTGAGGCTGCCAAACCAGCCTTGGAGGAGGCTGAAGCCGCCTTGCAGACCATCAAACCCGCTCATATCTCCACCGTCAGAAAACTGGCCAAGCCACCTCACCTTATCATGCGCATTATGGACTGTGTGCTACTGCTTTTCAACAGGAACATTGACACAGTAACGCCAGATCCAGAGAGGCCTTGCTGTAAGCCGTCCTGGGGAGAATCGCTGAAGTTGATGAGTGGTGGAGGCTTCCTAAACACTTTGCTAACTTTTCCGAAGGTAATGTGTGTAATCGAGGCCATAATGAAATATTTTAGTCGATAGTCGATAGAGCAATTTTCAATCCAATGTCAAAAGTGACCCGGAAACACTTTGAATTTGATTGGTACAGAAAACTCGCGCCACTTTCTCAACCAATCAGATTCAAAATTAACGCCAACTGCGACTGGATCACTCGCTTTTCCCGCTCTTTCAAAGCCTTGGCATGTATTCGCGTGAAATAATTGAAAGGGAGCTCAGGAATTCCAAACAAGCGAAGCCACATTGTATACGTGGTTTGTTGTCTCTCTCTTCATTCATCAATGGAAAAAGTGAGGAAGACAAGATGAAATTCGGAAATGTTCGACTCACTTGCTCCTTCAAATCTTCTTCGTCTTCTTAAATGTCTACAATACCTTCAAAGTCGCCTCATTGATCTGTTTCAGCCGCCATCTTATTAAGTTGTGCCCAGTCAGTAGTATCTTTAAAGAGACACGTTCAACCTCAGAGCTCGCGTGTTTGTTTTCATTTCAAGTTCGACTTTTCCAACAGTGTCCTCTCCCAACTCTAATTTATACATTCCGCTTTCGTTCCGTTTTGCACCTGAGTTTCCTTTTCATTATAAGGATACCATCAATGAAGAAACAGTCGAACTGTTGATGCCTTACCTTGAAATGGAAGACTACACCATCGAAGTGGCCAAGAAAGTTTGCGGTGATGTTGCAGGGCTTGCCTCCTGGACCAAAGCTATGGCCTTTTTCTACACCATTAACAAAGAAGTCCTCCCTCTAAAGGTGATATAAACATCCTATTGTTGAAGTTATAGTAGCTACAATCAGCGGCAAAGTTGGTTGACACATCGTGTTTAAACAGTGCTAAATATGTGCTGAAAAACACAGCCTTCCGTACCACGCTATAAATCATTGATAAGACCCCCCCTCCCCCATTCAATGTTGCCACTATGAAGCTAAGAGTTCCCGGAATCTCGATACAACATTGTTTACAGGGGGGGAGGGGGTGAATAGGCTAACCTAACAAGGTCAAAAGTTATAAATTTGAAGAAATGGGGGTTCGAAAAGGTCAACGTGTCAACAATTTTGTCGCTGATTCCAGCTCTCTTTGATCTTCACTATGGTTCATAAGTAAATGAAGATTATGTAGCGCAAACTGTTTGCTGTCGGATCTCAAATGTGGAAGGTTAATGTTGAAAACTGGCACCAATCTCGCGAGCTTGGTTTGAGTGTTATGAAAACTTCCTTCCTTGTTCCTTACAACAACAACAACAAAATGTATTTATGTGCTCAGCTCTGGGTTTACAATGCACCAGGCATGATTAATGTTTCGTTTTAATGCATTTTTCCACGCCCAAAGGAGAGAATTTGAAAACATATAACAAGAAGGTAAAATAAATTCTACGGGTCGGTTATTGAAACAAAGTTTAGGCGTTGTGTCACAAAACTGTGTTCTAAATAATCTTCAATTAAGCCGAACCTTTTTCCGAAACATTTGTTTCTGTGAACAGTGTCATGAAGGCCGAAAGCTAACTTTGAAAATATTTTTATTTGACTAAACCAATCCTCTTATAGAGAATACGTGAGGCCCCGTAACCTGCGTAAAACCGCGGTCAGGGTTAGACCTCGTTTGAATTACCGACCCTACAAGTCTGATCCAACTTTCCGACTCAATCTTAGGTTCTGATTGAACTCACACACACTCACACTCACAATTTTCATTCTCTTGTCCCTCTTTCGGGTGCTTTGTTAGACGGACGAAAACACTCAAATTAACTGTACGGTTTCTGCATGAAATTTGTAGGCAAATCTCATCATCCAAGAAGCGCGCTTGCAGAAAGCGACAGGGGAGTTGAACGAAGCGCAGGCGCAGCTGGATGAGAAACAGCGGGAACTGGATCTGGTGCAGGCCAAGTACGATCAGGCCATGCGTGACAAACAGGCTCTAGTAGAAGATGCAGAGGCCTGCAGGAGGAAGATGGCCAATGCAACGGCTTTGATCGATGGTTTGGGAGGCGAAAAAGTACGATGGACTGAACAGAGCAAGAAATTCGATCAGCAGATTCATAGGTGTGTTTCCCCTCTTGTTTTTGTTCGGCAGTTTTTAATTTGCGTTACTTTATGGAAAGTATCATATTTCGCACACGCTTTTCCCCCATTTTTTTTTTGCAATTTCCTCAATAAGTTAGTTCATTTCTTTTGAAAGGATTGACTACATGAGATTATGTTTTGATTAATTGCTAAAAAAGATCATTCCATTGGAGGGAATCAATGGAAATAATGTTCCACACCTTTTGCGCGAGGGAGACACGAAAGGTTTGCAACCCTTTCCTTCACACTATGATGTTTTATCTCAGGTTGGTTGGCGATGTACTGCTGGCCACTGGATTTTTGTCGTATTCTGGTCCGTTTAACCAGGCTTTCAGAACTCTGTTGTTGGACAACTGGAAGAAAGAAATGAGAAAAATGAAGATTCCCTTCTCAGAGGTAATAGCTTATACTTCAGGATTTAGTAGCTTTATTTCATAAACAGACAGCCGAATGATTTTTGGTAGTTTTCCTCATGCAAACAGCGTAAAATGTGTCCTTTGATGACGTAAATCAGTTGATTCACCCAACTTGTTTGCATGTAAACATTTGAAAAAATCTTCCCAAGAAACGGCTCGCTCGGAATGCTAATAGAGGAGCTCTAAGGTGTTGCTGCTGCCTTTGATTTTTTGGGTTTTTTTTTATTTGTTTTGTTTTGTTTTTTTTATTTTTAAAGTCGGTCTTTTTATTCCATTTAATTTGAAGCCGTCGCCCTTTTAATACTGTTATGTTGATCTACAGACTGTACTTGAAAGTCACGCGTTGAAGGGAAGAATTTAGAAATATGAAAGAAACAAAAGAGACAGAATTAAACTGTATGCTTTTCTCTCCACTTTGCAGGATTTGAATCTTGTGAACATGCTCACGGATGCCGCTACAATTGGCGAATGGGCCCTTCAGGGATTACCGAGTGATGAGTTGTCAGTCCAGAATGGTATAATTGTCACCAAGGCAGCTCGCTATCCACTTCTTATCGATCCCCAGGTGAGATCCAGAAAATTAACATCCCTGTGTAAAAACTGAAATCGTTTCTTGAATTCTCTTTCCGCCACCGGTCGTGGCCATCAGAGTAGCAAAGGCGCGCTTACAACGATTTCTTTGCAAAATTCGTCCCATGCAATGTCATTTGGAATACGTATGTAAGTAGTTTGCTGTGGTTTCGCACACATACGAGAAACGTAAAAGGCAAAACTTGGAGGAAAGAGCGCATAAGGAAGAAATATGTGTTCTGAGGTGTTCAAATATTGTGCAACTTAAAATACATGTGAGACCCCAGTCTGTTACAAACGACAGATGTCCCTATCTGCCATGGCTAATACTTCAAATAATCAGGAACAAATTGTGATTTTCTATTTAGCCGCAAGACATAATTTATTGGTTTTTTTTTGTTGTTTTTTGTTACTCAGGGTCAAGGGAAGGCGTGGATTAGGAAGAAAGAAGGACCGAATGAATTACAGGCAAGTTGATGACATTTCACCCTTGTTCGTTATCTTCTCTGTGATTTGTGATATAAGGCATTGGCTTTACCTGCTGAGGTAACCTACCTAGAAATGATGTTCCATTCACGAGGAATCCGAAACAATTACTGTTATTTCTAGGTGAAAAAAAAAAAAACAAGCTCGGGCTGTAGTGTGGACTTAATAGCATCGAAGAACATTTCAGAATTATCTTTCCGTGGAAACCTTACTTTCTCTGATTTCTCGTATGTCGTCCATTAGGCCACTGCTCTCAACCACAAATACTTCCGTACTCATTTGGAAGATTCATTGTCCTTGGGAAGACCGCTGATCATAGAGGATGTTGGTGAGGAACTTGATCCGGCGCTCGATAACGTACTGGAGAAAAACTTTATCAAGTCTGGAAAAACGTTTAAGGTAAAGAAATAACCATTGTTTTGATATTTGTCATTAACTTGCTTCAATCTTTCTTTCTCATAATATCGGCAAAAACTCTTTTAAATTTTGAGCGAGGCGTGGTCATCATCTGAAGAATTTTGAATTGGTAATTCTCAAGATTTGATTAGATCAACTGAAGGTAGTTTCTTTACTGCGGCTGTCTTACTTAGTGAATCTCTCCACCTGTTAGGTCAAAGTGGGAGACAAGGAAGTGGATGTAATGGATGGCTTTCGTTTGTACATCACCACTAAGCTTGGTAACCCCTCGTACACTCCTGAAGTTAGTGCCAAGACCTCCATCATCGACTTCACGGTCACTATGAGTGGCCTGGAAGATCAGCTTCTTGGTAGAGTGATATTAACAGAAAAGCAGGTAAAACCGTCACTCTTCTATTGATAAATGTATAATTTGCCTTCAAATCCAGGTTGATTTTAAATTCATTTCGTCTTTAGGTATGTCGAAATAATTTGTACTTAAGAAAATTCTCATAAAACTAACACCGCATCAAATGTAGGGATCAAGCGTAGGAAAAGAATCAAAAAAAGAAAAGCCGATTTCTATAAACAGGAAAAAGTTCTTCTTTTGGTTTCTTTGAGGTATCTTTTCGCACTTTAATTAGCCGCCCTCGAGAAAACAAGGCGTATGGTCTTAAAAAATAAGTCTTTACACGAGCCCAGTACCCCATCCATCCTGAGCTTATCCTGGTTTCCAGAGCATAAAGCGACTAGGATTATTAACTCTCC